TGTGTGTGTGTGTGAAAAATTGGTTCTTCCCAAAGTGTTGCTGAAGAAAATACAAATGGCACTGATCAAATACCTCTCACCTTCTGTTTTAAAACTTTAAATTGAACTTTATAATTTGCAAAAGTCAGCCTATATATCAACTGACATGATATTTTAATGAAGTTTAAACAGGGTGATCARACGTTGTACACAGTGAGCAGCGTATACGGTATGCCTGTGAAGTGAGAGTCAGATTTATTTCATTCCAGATTCAGAGYAGTTTTCTGGAKTATAARGCACATGGGTTTAACCATATTGAGCTTGGAGAAAAAGRCTTCCACAGAAACAGGACAGCRGTAGAAGCTGAGGCAGCCCAGYGTTGAAGGTCAGCTTGGGTCAGAACTCAACAGGATGGCCTTGTGTTCTGCATGTCAACAGGTACACAAAGATGAAGACAGCCACCAATATTTATATRTTCAACCTAGCGCTCGCCGACGCCCTGGTCACCACCACGATGCCCTTCCAGAGCACAGACTACCTTCTCAATACCTGGCCCTTTGGGGAGGTGGTGTGCAAGGTCTTCATCTCCATCGACTACTACAACATGTTCACCAGTATCTTCACGCTCACCATGATGAGTGTGGACCGGTACGTGGCTGTGTGCCACCCTGTGAAAGCCCTGGATTTCCGCACCCCCATCAAAGCCAAGATGATCAACGTCTGCATCTGGATCTTGTCCTCGGCTGCGGGGATTCCTGCTTTTGTTCTGGGGGGCACGCAGACAAACAGTGGTGAGTAAGAACTTTAACCACTTTTAAATAAAGGTTTTATTCCTTACTTTTTATTTATTTATTTTTATTTTTTAGGTAGTGGAGGTTTACTGTACCCAAGTGCAAAAAAAATCCATTTTCAGGAGAAAAGTGTATTTTATCAAGTCCATCCGTCAGAGAAGAGTTTTCCATTAGCAGCTCACCTAGACTGTTATTACTGAAAATAAATGGAATCACAAATAAGAGCAAGATGTTCCCATCTGACTGCAGATTAGCTTTTTCATAACAGCTTGTTAAATTGGCATTAGGAAGATACAAGATTTCTTTTTCTCATGACAAAGCAAAACTCTTCTTTGTCGTTTTTTCCCCACCTCTCCCTCTGCAGACATAACTGAATGTGCCTTACAGTTCCCAGAGCCGTACGCCTACTGGGACACAATGATGAAGATCTGTGTGTTTGTGTTTGCCTTCGTCGTGCCCGTGCTCATCATCACCGTGTGCTACTCCCTCATGGTCCTGAGGCTGAAGAGCGTGCGCATGTTGTCCGGCTCGCGGGAGAAGGACCGCAACCTGCGGCGCATTACCAGGCTGGTGGTGGTGGTGGTGGCCGTGTTCGTGGTCTGCTGGACGCCCATTCACATCTTCATCCTGGTCAAAGCGCTGGTGAGCGTGCCTGAGACCACCGCCATCATGGCCGCCTACTTCTTCTGCGTGGCCCTGGGCTACACCAACAGCAGCCTCAATCCTGTTCTCTACGCCTTTCTGGACGAGAACTTCAAGCGCTGCTTCAAGGACTTCTGCCTCTCYGCCAAACTGAAAGGAGACAAGTTTTCTGGGAGCAAGAAGGTCCCCAGCACTGTTCGGGCAGCCGCTGTTCCCCTGGAAAACCCAGACGGGACTAAGCCAACATGACTAGCAGTGGAACTGTCTTCAATTTCCCACATTGGTAAAGAAGACTCACATGACTTGGGCTTAACCCACGTCACTTCAGCAATGTAGACTGTTGTGAAAGTTGATCCGCCTCACGTTTTTATTGTTGCCTGGAGGGTGCCAACACTGAAACATTGCTCATCTTTTTCTTATAATGACCCAGAAGTAATCGTATTGACAACGTCCTCCACCGTGGCATTTYACTTTCGTAGTTGATGTTTGAATTTGAAGATAGATCTGGATACAAGGAGACAATTTGGTGTAAAATAGACCGAATTTGGTCAAAGGTAACTCTTATAGTATTTATTTTTTGTTGTCTGTTCTGAAGAAAGTGCTGCTTATTACAACATGGATACTTGATAAGTGATGGTAATTTATTTACTTTTCAGCCTCATAAAGAAAAAAACTGTATAGGTCTTCTGGACGGGTTCTTCTCTAATGAAACGTTTCGTCTCTCTTCCAAGAGACTTCTTCAGTCTGAGTGTTTCAGGCAAAATTCAGGCTTTTGCCTGAAACTCTCAGACTGAAGAAGT